CCAGCTGCATATACATTTTTCCAGAGAAGGATTCCTATCTCCATCAATGTATTCTCAGGCACAATGTGGGGGACAGACCACAACAAGACTATCCTTTCTGTAGCTTTCCCAACAAGATACTGTCAACACTGCTACATTTTCAATTGTGTTTGCAACTTCTGAGGTTTACAGAAAGCAATAACAGATTTTATTCTCTCTCTGATATTTCCACTCCTTTTTAAAAAATGGCCGATTAGCAGCAAGTCTGAGTCCAGCACTTGGGAGCCAAATGGTCAATCCTCACTGTTCACAAGATAATTCGTCACAAGATATTCATCCAGGGCAGAAGGCAATGCCAGCAAATCCATTGCAAGGGTATTTTTCAAAGTGTTCCTGTTGGAAACAACAGCTTTGAAGCCAGATTTCTTTACATATATCCATTTACCTGTTGTATTTGCATATTATTGTGATAATCCAGGAATGAATACTGCTGCGAAAGTTCCCTCAGAAACCATGAGGCATTTTAGAAGGGCATGAAAAATGGAAACATTGGGTTGAATCCTACTTTGATGTTGCGAGCAGAACAACTTCTGCTTGAACAATGGAGTTTCCCTTACTGCTCCTCTTTCTGTGCATCTCCACTGTGCTCCCAAATCTGTTCCACGGGGTTCGGGAGAAACCCAAAGTGATAGGAGGGAAATTTTGTCCTACGCATGAGCATGAATGAAGTCCGCTTGCTCAGTCACTTAGGGTTTGTCCACATTTCTATTGACCCACACTTTCTAGCCATGGATCTGAGGGGTTTTCCTCTTGCCCCCCTCCTTTGTCAGGGAAAACCCACTCTTTAGCTCTAAATCAGAACAAATAGCCATCCACAAAATCCCGATTGCCATTTGTTCCAAAGGAATGCTAAAGAGAAAATTTTCCCCCGGGGAAAGCAGCAGGAAAAGAGGAAGAGTGGAAAAGTCCTTAGTTGGATACAATCCCATCTTAAGCTATGCGGTTTGTTCCTTTCTACACTGACGAGTGGGACGCAGGTGGCGCTGTGGTCTAAACCACAGAGCCTAGGGCTTCCTGATCAGAAGGCCGGCGGTTCAAATCCCCGCGACGGGGTGAGCTCCTGTTGCTCAGTCCCAGCTCCTGCCAACCTAGCAGTTCGAAATCACGTCAAAGTGCAAGTAGATAAATAGGTACCACTCTGGCAGGAAGGTAAATGGCATTTCCGTGCACTGCTCTCGTTCACCAGAAGCAGCTTAGTCATGCTGGCCACATGACCAGAAAAACTGTCTGTGGACAAACGTCAGCTCCCTTGGCCAGTAATGCAAGATGAGCGCCGCAACCCTAGAGTCATTCGTGACTGAATGTAACTATCAGGGGTCCCTTACCTTTTTACACTGATGAGCCAATGTTCTATTATTATTATTATTATTATTATTATTATTATTATTATTATTATATTAAAATGCTTCTACCCTGCATTTTGGCCAAAGGGATTCTTAAGGCAGCCGATTTCAAAAGAAAAGTCACCAAAGAACCCAAGAAACCAGAAAAACTAAAGATCAAACATCATCTCCAAAATTTCAACTGCCAGGAAATCACACAATTCAGCCCCAAGAAAACCAGGTCTGCAGAATTCAGCTGTCAGCAGATGAAAAATGAACAGCGAAGAAGCCAAACAAGCTTCCTGAGCAGTGTTTGGAGTGAACGTTCGGTTGGGGGGGTGTCCATTCCTCAGATATGTCCACAGCACCTGTACGCAGGATGTTCCAGAGTCAGCGAGCTGAAGGTCAGTTTCCTTGTATGAGAATATTACTGCACATTACAAGTTGAACAGATGGGAAGTAAGCATGAACACAGGTATAGTACTAATCCCAAAGGAACAGCAGTCCAACACTCTGGTTTGCTGGTGATTCGTCTACTTTGGCCAGAAATCCCTTTGCAGGTGCCCCCCTCCCTCAGCAAGCTTACATTTAGAGATATTTTTCTACAAATAGCTTTCAGCTCTAGTACTAAGGAGCATGGACCCATCCAGATCATTAGCTGACCGATGCTGGGGCAGGGAAGTGTCCCATAGAGAAATCCTCATGTGGAGTCAAGGCATCCAGGGAAGGGCAGGGAACCTGGCAAGGCAGACGGCAGGAATAATTTGTTGTAGTAGTTAATTTGGGGGCTATGCTGCTGGGTCTAAATGGCATCATCCATCTCACAGGATTTACATTCCTGGGAATGTCTCTGAATGCAAACATCTGTGCCTGCTCTTACTTCTTCCAATACCCTTTTTATTTTTAATTTAACCAGGTTTATATTTCATTTTATATATTTATAGAAACCCTCTAAGCAAGTTATAGGCAATTAAGAATGTATCTTTCCACAACAGTTAATTGATGCCTGCTTTTATTCTTTATGATTGTTGTTGTTGTTACAAACCACTTTGATGTTTTTCTATGAAATAGTGGTGTGTGGGTATGTGAAAAAATATTGCTTAAGGACAGTGAGTGCTTTAAAACCAGGGCTGGGACATAAATTGTGCTACCCCACACCCACTATCTCCTCCTCCTCCTCCTCTTCCCCACGTAACTGTTAACTTTTGCCCTTCCAACAAGCTGTTCACCTCTCCAACCTCCCTGTCTGGCTCAGAGGAGGGAGGTCTCCTTCCTCAGAGTGAGGCAGAGTGGACTACTGCAATGCGCTCTACTTGGGGCTACCTTTGAAGGTGACCTGGAAACTACAACTAATCCAGAATGCGGCAGCTAGACTGGTGACTGGGAGTGGCCGCCAAGACCACATAACACCGGTCTACATTGGCTCCCAGTACGTTTCCGAGCACAATTCAAAGAATTGGTGCTAACCTTTAAAGCCCTAAATGGCCTCGGCCCAGTATACCTGGAGCATCTCCACCCCCATCGTTCTACCCGGACGCTGAGGTCCAGCACTGAGGGCCTTCTGGCGGTTTCATCTTTGCGAGAAGCCAAGTTACAGGGAACCAGGCAGAGGCCTTCTCAGTAGTGGCACCCGCCCTGTGGAACGCCCTCCCACCAGATGTCAAAGAGAACAACAACTACCTGACATTTAGAAGACATTTGAAGGCAACGCTGTTCAGGGAAGTTTTAAATGTGTGACATTTTAATGTATTTTTAATCTTAGTTGGAAGCCTCCCAGAGTGGCTGGGGAAACCCAGTCAGATGGGTGGGGTACAAATAATAAATTATATTATTATTATTATTATTATTATTATTGGGGCGAAAGTGGGGCTAGAGAGAGTGTGCACCACTGTTTGTTTGCTGTGGCAGCTAGAAATTTTGCTTTCAATACAGCTCAAAGTTGAAAAGTAGCAACTTTTGGCATTTTTTAAAAAAATTCTTTATTAGACTTTTTTTAACAGTACAAATTAAAAATGAAGCGAAACAGATGAAAAGAACGAGTTACTGACATAACAGGCTTAAGAAATGCTCCATAACTATACACATTGATTATCCAAACTCTTTCTTTCTCCTTTATGTTTTCTTACAGGGTTTTCTTAATACACACTGATTATCCTAACTCTTTGTTTCTCTTTTATGTTTTCCTTACAGAGTTTTCTTAATGGGGTTTCAAGATCAAGAGAGAACACAAAAGGCCCATAGTCTAGAGCACATCGGGGGTGAGGGGCAGTCATTATCCTTTACACTTGTGTAATCAATAAACGCTTTCCATGTTTTCTCGAATGAGTCCTTTATCATTTGTCCCCTGCTTGCCCTTAGCTTATGGGTTGATTTCTCTAAAAGAGCACATGACCAAACTTTTTGATGCCAGTGGTCGATATTTCCATTCTGAAGTACCTTCCCATTCTGAGCTACAAGTCCTCAGGCAGCCGAGAGTATAAGACTCAGTGGCTCCTTATGACTGAGGTCTACGTTTCTTTCCAGAAACTTTCAACGTTTGACTACGTTGAAAACAGAATTTCTAGCCATGGTGAGAAACCTTGCCCAGGATGCTCAACTTGAAAGCTTCATGCGAACCATGCACAATGAGTAGGTGGCAACAGTTAAGCAAGCACATGTGGGGAAGGGTCATAGCCGAGTGGTAGAGCATCTGCTTTGCATGCACATGGTCCCAGGTTCAATCCCAAGCATGTTCAGATAGGGCTCTGTCATGGACTGGCTGGAGGCAGAGGAGTGGAGGAAGGCACCAGCTGGGGAATCCTCGAGAGAAGAAGACTCAAAGCCAGGGGACTGGTGATGGGATGATGATGAGTGGTCAAAGGGAGAAGAGGGAGGAGACTGGGAGAAGGAGATGTTGGAAGCTGAAGAGCTAACAGGGTTTAGTGAGCAGGAAGAATCAGAGGCAGAAGCGAAGGCTGGAGAGGAGGGGGAGGCAAGAGCCAGAGATGGGGCAGCCTGAAGAAGCCAGGGGGTCTCCCCTTCCTGCTGTGACCAGCTCCCCTCCCCACCTAGTCTCCCAGAATGTCAGGAGCTGGTCTGGATCGGAGGATTGGGGGATGCAATCGCAAGTAGATCAGTTCCTAACAAAAGAGGAGAGGGAATACCCCCAGCATTTCCAGAAGCAGAGAGACAGGCAGACACTGAAACTGCACAGTTTAGAGAGGAGCTACCCAGCTATGAGACAGTAGCTAAGCAACCAGAAGAGTGGGAGCAGCTGGGCGATACATCAGTCGAGAGTAGGGGGGAACGCCCTCCCTCCCCCCAAACTCAGAGGTCCTGTCACGGCTAAAAATTGGCCGCTGTTTCTTTAATGCTTAAAAAGCTAGGTCAGCATGACTCAGTGGCCTGCACCGGGTTGTATATATAGAGTGAGAAATGTTAGTTTTGTGTTGGGTTGGTTGCTTGGTTAGTGAAAGCTGGTAGTGTTGATGTGTGTACAGTTGGTCAGTCGCTTTTGCAGAAAGACTTTTAAGAATAAAAGCAGAAAGTACTCTGCAAGGATACTCTTCTCGTGGACTCTTTTATGCCGACAAGGGTCTGAGGACCAGGCTGAGGCGACAAAGGGAGGTCAGAACCGTTTTTTTCCTTTTTTTAAAAAAAAAGATATTTATTAAAATTTTCAAGATATTACAAAATGAAAAAAGAAAAAAGAAAAATACAAAATAAAAGTAGTTAAAAACAACTCAATCTTTCCGTTACTTATCTTTCATTAGCTTGTTTCCCGGACCTCCTCACGCCTCCCTTTTTTGTATTCCAGTTCAGTTTGTTAGTTCAGCAAATCCTTCCCCTCTTTGTTTATCCTAGTCTTTAATCTTAAAATATTGTAACATTAAATTTTTACCTGTTAGTAATCCATTTTTCATATTCCCTTATAGTATTACAGCTAAAAACCACTTAATTTCTATCCAACATCATTCTAACATTCATTAATTTTACAATATTTCTGTAAATAGTCTTTAAACTTTTTCCAATCTTCTTCCACTAACTCTTCTCCCTGGTCTCGGATTCTGCCAGTCATTTCTGCCAATTCCATATAGTCCATCACCTTCATCTGCCATTCTTCCAGGGTGGGTAGATCTTGTGTCTTCCAATACTTTGCAATAAGTATTCTTGCTGCTGTTGTGGCATACATAAAGAAAGTTCTATCCTTCTTTGACACCAATTGGCCGACTATGCCCAGGAGAAAGGCCTCTGGTTTCTTCAGGAAGGTATATTTAAATACCTTTTTCAGAACTTCCGGGGTGGCGCCTCCGGAAAATGGCGGAATTCCCTTCGGACTGAAGGGAACCCGCTGCACGGAGGCTTGGGTCCTGCCGCTACGGCGCAGCGGGGACCCGCAAAAACCACAGGCGGAAGAAGCCTGTGGACGTGGGACTCGGCGGGCACCGAGAGCGCTCTCTCCCCTTGTACAGGAGCCCGGGAACGGGCTCCGGAGTGGGAGGTGCGTGGTGCTGTGAGTCGTCTGCTTCCTCCGTGCAGCAAAGCTGCACTGCCGTTATCGGAGAGCGCTGCCTTTTCCTGGACAATTTGGCATCTAAAATATCTATCCGTGAGTACCTGATCTTGGAAGAGTTGAACCACTTTTAAGACTGGTGAATAAACAAATAATATTGGACTTGAAATTGAACTTAATTGGGACTCGGAATGGGAAGGTCTAAACAGGAAGTCGCCTTCCGTTCTTTTGTTATGTGAAGAAAGCAAAGACAAAATATACTAAAGCTTGAAAATTAAATTCTAAGAGAACTAGAATTCAACATCTAAGATTTCTGAACCCCCTTTGACTGCAGGAGAAGAAGGGGGTTGTATTTGGACTTTTCAATCCTGCGGAAGTGAGTTTAAAATAAAGCAATTTTCCACCGCCCTGAACCAGGAGCGGGCTGTCAGAATTGACGTTCTGAAGTTTATCCAGCTCGACAGTTAGTTAAAAGAAGGGTAACATTTTGATTCTACTGTTGCCTCTTGAATTTGGAAGGGGAATTTTGGATAAAGTGTTTCTGGAAAAAGAAAGATTGTTGCTGTTGCTTTTATTCCTTTAAAAAAAAAAATTCCATCTAGTGGAATTTAGTGAAATTGCAACGCAGAGAGATTAAAAGAGAAGGACTATTGGACTATTCTCGTGGGAAAGAATTTTCTTTGACCTTGAAGGACAATGCTAGTACAAAGGCTTGAACAATTGTTCCTGGAAGGTTTTTCAAAACTAAGTGCCCAGCTGGACCAGATGCGTCAGGAGACGACCTTGATGATGGAAGTTACCAGAGCACAGCAGCAAATAAATGAAATTCAGTTAAAGGCTATACAAGCATATGAACCTGCTGTAGTGACGGAGGCTTCAGAGATGGAGGGACCTTTGGACGGGCAAGATCAGCCTTTGAACTTGATAAATGAACTTGGGACAAACCAGATTCGGAAAGATGAAATGTGGTCAGATTTGGAAATGGGTGGATGGATCGACCCCTCCATATGGTTATTTGGACCTTCCGAGTCTGGTGATGGGCTATCAGAGGATTGGAGTAGCCGAAGTCTCCAAGCTTTGTGGAAATTTGAAGTGGTATTATTTGCTGTCTGGCTTGGGCAATGGGTCTGGGATGGACTTGCTGCAAAGGGTCAAAAGCATTTTCTTGCTGGAGCATCCACGACTGGAAAGGAATCATCAACAAGAGTGGCGAAAGGGGCAAGAAAGAGACTTGAGGGCCTCGGATACGAGACAACCAGGTTAAGGAGCCGGATTATCGAGGTTAAAAGGACTGACAATCCCGGGTCCAGGGAGGGGAGGTTGGAAGCTGACTGGACTGAATTTGACTTATTATTTTTCTTTTTATTTTTAATATTGGGAATGCTTACAAATGTTTGAAGGATGTTGAATGAAATTACATGGCTTAAGTAAGGATTGGTAAATGATTCGTAAAAAGGTAATGATGCAAGAATTTGGTAAATATTGAATATAAGCTATGAGTTTTAAAGTTTTTATATGACAAGAGGGAAAATAGAATAAGGAAACGTAATGACAGATTGTTATGAAAAACAGAAAGGATTTGCTGTAAAAATTAAAAATTAAGAAACAAAAGAGGGGAGGAGGAGGAAGTCTAGAAAGGAAGTCAATAGAGATTGTAAAGGATTTTATATTTTTGTTTTTCTGTTTCTCTTTTTTTTTTTTCTTCTTTGAGGCTGGGTTTTCTTTTCTTTTTTGTTTATGTACTATTTTTGTTTTTTGTATCCTTAATTTTTTTTTTGGAAATTTTTGTTGTTATTTTTTGAAAATTCAATAAATATCAATTATATATATAAAAAAATACCTTTTTCATTTCATTATATATCATCTCCCAGAACCGTTTTTTTTCTTCCTACAAACACTGACAGGTCCGCGAGCGTGTCAGAGAACAAAGGAGACGCAGAGGGGGAGGGACTTCCCATTGGCACACTTCTTGCTGCAGAAGTCAGGGAGAGGAGTCAGAGTAGGCAACTGATCTCCTTGCGGAGGGTTGTCTGTTTGTGCTTGCAACATAATGCTGTAATAGAAGGACTATAAATCTACCAAATGCTCATTAATTCTAATTGGTGAGCTACCAGAAGGGAGAGGGGAACTTCCGTACTTGACACAGAACCTGAAGAGGTATAAAGAGGACAGAGCAAAGAGAGACAAGATGAAGGAGCCTCAGGTTCCTAAGGAAGGACCCGAGGGGGCAGAGCCTTGGAGAGGAGTAGGAAGGGGGGGAGACCTTCAGTCCTCACTACTGCCTCATTGGGGCAAGACCCACTGGGTTGCTGCGATCACTAGGCCTTATTGGGAATCAACACCATGGCTGGTGTGTTACTCCCTTCGAAGTGCCACTCGGGTGATTAATCTTCCTCCCGAGCCACGGGTGTGACAGATATCCGTAAACTTGGCTCCTCTTACTTTCTTCATCAGCAAGAGAAGAGAAAAGCAAAAGCAATATCACGGAAAGAGCGTATCTGAACTTCCGTTCCCATGACATCCAACACTGTGGAATGTAAACACACAGACATGTGATGAAACAATCCCATATCTGCAGCACGGAGGAATGAAATTCCCAACAGCCCTGAGCTCTTTCTTTGAATAAAGTGTAAATGTCAGTAACACCTTGTGAGTTATTGCTGACTCCCACCTTGACAGGCTGGGAGATACACCTGTCACTAGCAGTCTTTATGAGCTATACAGTGGTACCTCAGGTTACATACGCTTCAGGTTACAGACTCTGCTAACCCAGAAATAGTGCTTCAGGTTAAGAACTTTGCTTCAGGATGAGAACAGAAATCATGCTCCGGCGGTGCGGCAGCAGCAGGAGGCCCCATTAGCTAAAGTGGTGCTTCAGGTCAAGAACAGTTTCAGGTTAAGAACAGACCTCCGGAACGAATTAAGTACTTAACCTGAGGTACCACTGTGCTGAACTAGGAAGACCATTGTCCCCACTCAATATATGACAGCTTCCTACATTCTTGAGGGGATGGGGGTCTTAATCTGCCACACCATGACCACCTGAAGCATTTGCCTCTTTTGCTAATGACAGAGCCATCTCTTTGGGTGGGTAGGGGGGAATACTTTCTTGGTTTTAAGCTCAAAGAACACTTTTAGGATTCTATGGTCCCGCTCTTCTAAAGACTCACAACAGTGAAGCACCAGCAGCTTCTGAATGATGTTATTGAGGATTCCCAATTGGTACTTGTAATTTCATACAATAATTATTTTGTTGATAAGGTTTTTGATGTAGGAGCAGCCCCAGACATTGTGCTGATTGGATTTGTACCCGGGAAAACTATATCCTCTTTTCTTCTTCTTCCTTTGGTTAGAAATTGTCTAATTATACTGCAAGGCAGTATACATGATGTATTTTAATTTCATATTTTATGCACACTAGTGCTACTCTCTGCCCTCGGGGGGGTGGGGGGTGGGAATCTTCTGCATAGTTAAATAATTCAAGTGCAGAGTAAATAGCAAAACCAGGAATGAAAGGAAGGAATCGCACAAAAGCAAATAGCCACCAGTCGTGATTCACACCTGAGAGTTGCTGATGGAATCTTGGCTGTTTTCATTCCTCTTTCCTGCAGCTTCAGATTTGCCCAGAGAGCAACCGTGATGAGAAATTGAACCTTACCTTCCTTTCAATTAAGTGGGCTAAAATGGACCTCAATGCACTTTTCAGTGCAGAAGTTACTTTTAAAAAAATAAAAAATAAATAAAAGCTAAGCTGAGAGATGGGGGTCCCTGCTGGTATGGGGTCCAGTACATGATCTTTTATTCCCCTTCCTTCCCTCCCCCTCTGGGATCCCACAGCTAATTCTCCCCTGGTCTCCCTGCTGGCCCAAATAGGACTAATTTAGCCAGCTAGCCCTGGTGATCATCTAATGTTTATTGGATGGATTTCCCCCCTAAAATGATTTTTGAATTCTGAATTTATTGTTATTCATGTTTTATACTGTATTTTATGCTGGTTTTTGTTGTATCAGTTAAGTGTTTCAAATTTGTTGTTAGCCACCCTGAGCCCGGTTTTCTGAACTGGGAAGGGCGGGGTATAAATAAAAAATTATTTATTATTTATTTATGTGTACTGTATCCTCAAATTGGAAACCTCAGGCAGTGGCTGCTGGAGGGGGCAGCAGTGGCAGACCCCCAGCTGATGTTTCTGAGCCCTCGCTCAGCCACTACCTAATTCACACTTTGCAACCCAAAATGAAAACTGAAATACAACTCTTGTTCAACATTCGCATTTCTCCGAATTTTGCAATGCAGTTCTCCAAAGAAGAAAGTGCACACACTAGCGAAAATAAAATACAAATTGCAGCATATATGGGGGAAATGCTCTCAAAAGTTAATATATTAGTCAAAACTGTGTATAAAATGTTTTTTGTTAAATGCTTGCATTAAAATTCTGTTTAATTTTCACGAGGATTTTTTAAAAAAATACAAATCTCTGCAGAAATGTGGAGACTGGGAGTGGGAAGCTGTCAGCAAACCTGACAAATTTATCCATCCCTAAATTCAAGTTGTCTTCGTCCATGGAGTTTTCTTGGCAGGGAAAGTGGTTTGCCAGTTCCTGCTCCCGGTGGATCACTTTTGGTCAAAACTCTCCACTATGACCTGTCCATCTAGGTGGCCCTGCATAGCATAGCTCATAGCTTCTCTGAGTTATTCAATCCCCTTCGCCACGACAAGGCAGGGATCCATGAAGGCAGTGATCCATGAAAAAGCAGAGACATCACCTTGCTGACAAAGGTCCGTATAGTTAAAGCTATGGTTTTCCCAGTAGTGATGTATGGAAGTGAGAGCTGGACCATAAAGAAAGCTGATTGCTGAAGAATTGATGCTTTTGAATTATGGTGCTGGAGGAGACTCTTGAGAGTCCCATGGACTGCAAGAAAATCAAACTGATCCATTCTTAAGGAAATCAGCCCTGAGTGCTCACTGGAAGGACAGATCCTGAAGCTGAGGCTCCAATACTTTGGCCACCTCATGAGAAGAGAAGACTCCCTGGAAAAGACCCTGATGCTGGGAAAGATGGAGGGCACAAGGAGAAGGGGACAACAGAGGACAAGATGGTTGGACAGTGTTCTTGAATCTACCAGCATGAGTTTGACCAAACTGCGGGAGGCAGTGGAAGACAAGAGTGCCTGGCGTGCTCTGGTCCATGGGGTCCCGAAGAGCCAGACATGTCTACACGACTAAACAACAACAACAAATTCAGGTTATGGCTCATTCCATTCCAGCGAGGATTTGGGCGGACACAGTAATTATCCAGCGAGGATTTGGGCGGACACAGTAATTATCTCTACTAAGGATGAGATAGGAACACAGGAAACTGTGTTATGCTGAGACATGTCCATCTGAATTTGTACTGCCTACACTGACTGACAGCAGCTGCCCAGGGTTTGAAACAGGGCCTTCTTCCAGCCCTGCATGTAGTAGATGTCAGGGTTTGAACCCAGGACATCCTACAAACAAAGCAGCAGCTCTGCTACTGAGCTATGGCCATTCTGCAAATGGAGTTCCCCTTTTGCATGTCTTGGTTCTGTCCTCTTTCCTCATTGATCTAAACCAGCATAGAAATCTGCATTTCAATACACACAAAGATTATCATTATTGAAGTTTCCACTGGAAAGACATCAGTTAAGACACGTTGAAACAACGGGACAAAAAAAATCCAGACTCTTTTGCAACAGCTCATTAATCAGTCTGCATCGCCGGGCAGAATTGATTTGCAAAATATTCAGCTCGATATAGACCACAGGTGGTGGTGTGACAGAGACGTGGAGGTGGGGATGCAGAAATATGACATCTATTCCCCATGAAAGCATCTCAGGATAACTTTTCCCCATCAGCAAAGGAACTGCCTTTACAGTGTTAGGAAATATTTTCCTGTCAAAACACACTGTTTAAATGCATGTTATCTCAAAATGTAACTCCTACATGTATTTTTGAACATGTTTGGATGTGTGACTGAGCCAAGAACCATGTTTATATACCAGCTCTGTGTCCAACTTGCTATCTGGTCTCCTGCCTACACCAAACATAACCATGCCTGTCATCTGAGGCTTTGTTATGTGCTCTAACATTGGACCCACCCTAAATACTGCTTTGGATACTGTAGACAAGTTGACTCGGGTGCCCTGTGAAAATAAGGGACGCGGGTGGCGCTGTGGTCTAAACCACTGAGCCTCTTAGGCTTGCTGATCGGAAGGTTGGTGGTTTGAATCCGCTCAATGGTGGTGAGCTCCCGTTGCTCTGTTCAGCTTCTGCCAACCAAGCAGTTCAAAAGCACGCTAGAGCAAGTAGATAAATAGGTACTACTGTGGAGGGAAGGTAAATGGCGTTTCCGTGCACTCTGGTTTCTGTCACGGTGTTCTGTTGCACCAGAAGCGGTTTAGTCATGCTGGCCACATGACCACGAAAGCTGTCTGTGGACAAAGCCAGCTCCCTCAGCCTGAAAACTGAAATGAGCGCTGCAACCCCATACAGTGGTACCTTGGGTTACAGACGCTTCAGGTTACAGACTCTGCTAACCCACAAATAGTACCTCGGGTTAAGAACTTTGCTTCAGGATGAGAACAGAAATCGTGCAGCGGCGCAGCGGCAATGGGAGGCCCCATTAGCTAAACTGGTACCTCACGTTAAGAACAGTTTCAGGTTAAGAACAGACCTCCAGAACGAAGTAATCTGAGGTACCACTGTAGTTGCCTTTGACTGGACTTAACCGCCCAGGGGTCCTTTACCTTTACCCTATGAGAATGATACATACCATTAGCACCAGCTCAAACATAATACAGTGGTACCTCGGATTACTTATGCTTCAGGTTACAGACTCCGCTAACCTAGAAATAGTACCCCAGGTTAAGAACTTTGCTTCAGGATGAGAACAGAAATCGTGCTCTGGCAGCGTGGCGGCAGCAGGAGGCCCCATTAGCTAAAGTGGTGTTTCAGGTTAAGAACAGCTTCAGGTTAAGAACGGACCTCCGGAACGAATTAAGTACTTAACCCGAGGTACCACTGTATGTACCATTAAACCTGCAACCCATCTTGGCTGTCTCTGTAGCTGGGTGAGGAGAGGACAGAGGGTGAAGAAAGAGCTGTGTGTGGAATCAACGTGTGAGTCTTAGTCAGCTTCTGGATTTGTTGACTTTCTGTACTGCCCTTCATCCAAGGACCACAGGACAGTTTACAACGTAAAAACACAAAAAAGCACAACATAGTAACAAACAAAAGCAGTAACCCATTCATTGCCTTTTTGTGATGTCAGCTGTGGACACCAGAGCCTGCAGCCTGACCGACTGACCGACACCACCACCACCCCAGCGCCAGTGTCTCCCAAAGATGAGTTGGTGGCCCCTTACATTTACTTGTGAATGACTTCATCATGTCTGGCAGGCAGTTGTTAACAGACAGGATGCTCAGCTAAACTGGACTGGTGGGCTGACCAAATCTGAAAAGATTGCTCGTCTCCTATTCCAGAGATGGAGAACCTCAGGGCTGAAGGGCAAATGCAATCCTCCAGCCCCGTATTTATCTGGTCTCCCCAAGTCACACCACTCACCTCTCCTTTTTTACATATTCCTTGAGTGTTTGTGCCTGCCTTGAATGCTGCTTGATGGCCTAGATGAGAGAGAGAGAAAGAGAGAGAGGAGAGTGTGTGTAGAATAGAATAGAATAGAATAGAATAGAATCATAGAATAGAATAGAATAGAATAGAATAGAATAGAAT